GCGGAAATGTTTACTTGCCCCAGGCCGCGCGGAGATGACGTGCGACGCTCCCTGACTCGTAAATATCGCGTCATGTCACTGGATTGAACCTTCAGCGTGCGTTTGGCATCCGGATAAAAGTGCATTGTTTTAAAAAAAGTGACATAGAAAGTAACAGGTGTTCGTTTTAATATATTCAGCTTCTTCGTGATACTAGCTGCCACTTGCAGCATCCTCAGCCACACCATTAGACCTGAAGGAGAGTCAGAATGGCTTTGGCAGCTGCATGCAGAAGGTCAGTCTTTGTCAAAGGCAAGTTTGTGTATTTGAGGCAAACCAACAGTCTGTTTTCAACTAATGCCACTATTGTAGCCGACCGAGGGAAGCCCTCATCAAAGAAACGGTGGAGGAAATGTCCCCAGAAACCTCCCTGGACTGATCCTCTGTGCTGGAAGGAAAGGCTGGCTGATGTGGTCACCCCTCTGTGGAGGCTGAGTTATGATGAGCAACTTGAGCTCAAGCAAAAGCACCAGGAGAGGATACTGTCTCAGCTCTGTGGTTATCTCTCAGGTGATTTACATTCAGGGCCCTCATCACCTGTCAGAAGTAAACTCCGATTTCCTGTCCTGCCTGTTCTGCCGTCGCCAGTTAGAGATGGCTATCGCAACAAATCTACGTTTTCTGTCAACAGAGGAATGGACGGAAATCCAAAAACAGTTGGTTTTTACATGGGGGCAAGCAGGATGGGAAACATTGTCTGCGTCAACGGAGACCACCTGATCAACATGCCTGAGAAGCACAAACTGGTATCCAGGTGCTACCAGGAATTCATCCGCCTCTCCTCCCTGGAGCCGTGCCTGCTGTTCCACACTGGGGGCCACTGGAGGGAGATCACCGTGAGGACCAACACGAAGGGCCACACCATGGCTATAGTGTACTTTCATCCCCAGATGCTCACCCCAGAAGAGGTGGCAGTCCACAAGGCTGAACTGGTGGATTACTTCGTGCGGGGGCCTGGGTCGGTCTGTGAGCTGGACTCACTGTTCTTCCAGGAGAGCACCATGACTCGCTGCACTCATGAGGAATCCCCCTACCAGCTCCTGCATGGTCAACCACACATATACGAGGAGGTAAATATACGCCATCAGGGCAAAATGACAGGGAATCTGTAAGGGACTTCATGTAGCCTACAGCAAACATTGTAATGTAATGTTGACCTTTTTACACATGCTAATCTCACTGTAATAAAGTGTTTTTAAGCTGGTGATACTTTTATTCTGTTGCTTATTTAATAGTTGCGTTAAAATGATACATTCCTAGAGAAATAGATTAGAAGAAAATGTTTCTCCAAATCAGCTAATTGTCAACATTAGAAATAATACTGGAGCAATATGACATTTCCCTTTTAAAGCTAATATCAATTTATATGGTCCTGATATGCAGATATATCTGTAGATCCCAAATCAAACAATTCATAATTTACTCCATTAGATGTCGACATTACTGACAAATGCCCGTGAACATTATATTTTATTTATCTTTTATGTTATTCTATGAATTTGGTTATCTGTGCGCTGCATTAAGGAACTACAATATTGATTTCGTTATACAGCCTTTTCTTGTATAATGATGATGTCTTTGATTCCTTGAGAAAAGTATGTGGTATAAAATCTATGTATGCCTAGGTTGTGTTTGTTGTTTTTTAATTGCTGTTCCTATATTGTTGTCTCATTTACAGGTGCTGGGCTTCAAGTTTCGCATTTCTGCCGATGCCTTTTTCCAGGTGAACCAGGCGGCTGCTGAGGTGCTGTATGGCACAGTGAGAGACCTGTGCGTCCCGAACCATGAGGGAGGTGAAGGGAGAACAAAAGTCGGTGGTACTCTCCTAGATGTGTGCTGTGGCACAGGTGCCATTGGTATTACTACATCACCCAGAGTGGACAGAATTATTGGTATAGAGCTCATTGAACAGGCAGTGGAAGATGCTCAACACAACGCAGCTCTCAGTAACGTACTGAACTGTGAGTTTATCCCAGGGAAGGCGGAGGTGGTGCTTCCTCGCCTTATGCCTCAGTTGAGCTCAGCCGGTGGAAGCGTTGTGGCAGCTGTGGTAAACCCTGCTCGAGCTGGCCTGCACCATAGGGTCGTCCAAGCTTTAAGAAACCAGACTACTATCCGCAGGCTGGTCTTTGTTTCCTGTAAACCGGATGGAGAAGCTATGAGGAACTTCAGGGAGCTTTGTTGTGCTCCTGACCCACGGAAGAAACTCACAGGAGAGGCATTTTCTCCAACTCTGGCTGTGCCTGTGGATATGTTCCCACATACTCCTCACTGCGAACTGGTGCTACTTTTTGAGAGGTAGCAAATTCTCTTTTGTTCAGAGGAACCCCTCAACAACTACTCTGGTTGCTTTAGAAGGCTAACAGGGAGTTGAATAATGATAATGATAATGCACCTACAATAATCTTACATCCATGGTACACCCACACAGGTTAACCATGGGTGTACGATTAGGTCTTAGATTGAGTAGACCTCCTATCAGGATTGTGAAGTAGGGCTGCAACAAAATATTATTGTGGTTATTGATTCATCGATTGATTCTTTTAATTAATAATTTGGCGTATCAGAAAATAAACCTTGCAAAAAACACTACTGTTGTAAAGCTTAAAGGATATGACTATGTCAAAGAGATGTTCATTTGATTGTGTGGTATTCTTTGTTTCCACATGTAACTAAATCTCACAAGATTTGAATCTGGAAACCTCTCATAGTGCATCTCTTTGTCTGCCATGTGGTAGCTGTATTTGTGCAGTAGAGGGTGCCATTAAATCTAGCAAATATCCCCTCCACTCCAGTTTATTAAAGATCATATCATGACAGGTTTACTGTATGAGTGTATAGGTTTTTTCCCCTGAGAGTTTACTACAGTTTATGTGATCATACATTGGAACAAGATTGGCTCATTGGATGTTATTTTATCTCTTGAGTGACGTAATGGGATGATACGCATGCATAAAAATGTGGTGCCAGCAAATTTAACCAACCTTTTGAAAAGATGTGAATATATAACAGGTAAGTATCTTTTTTTATTGTGGGAAAGTGTACTGTATCTACCAAAAGTGGAGATATTTTGGCCAGAGTTTGACACAATCATGTCAGACTAGACTTGTTTTGTAATATTTAACTGAAGCTTACAAAACTGCAAAATTGCTGTTTAAAAGGCACACTGTCTGTACTATTTTGGAAATGGCTGACGTGCCAGACCAGTGGGGTTAAAGGGTAAAATCATGACTCACACAAAAATATGAAGGCTGTGTCAGGGTTTGCAGAAAGACTGGGAAATTAAGTTGTCTCACCCCTACAGCACTGCCAGAGTGCTGGCAGCGAGCAGTTGCATATTTTACTCATTTCTGCTTCTGTTGTGGCAAATTTGACATAACCAAAATGTTAAAAGGTAATGCTTCCACAACAACCACACATTCCCCTTTGACTGTGCAACCAGTGAGTTTGGCTGCAAGATCAGTCTCACCACCGCCTTCATAGACCTCATGTGCTTCCTAGGTTTGGCCAAGGAGGGTGTTGAGAAATAAAAATTATTTCTTGACTACAGTTACAAAAGTGGTTTGCTTGATTAAACCTCCTTGTGGGACTGTGAGCTGGGACTGTGAGCTAGGCCTGAAATAAATTCTAATTTATTTAATTAATGATTTGTTATACAAAAATATCAGAAAATAGAGCCCAAAGTGAAGTTTTCAAGTTGCTTATTTTGTTCAACCAACAGTCCAAAATGTAAAGACATTCAATTTACAATGATATTAAAATAGAGAAAAGGTGAATTGAGAAGTTGGAACCGGCGATTGTTGTTGGTATTTATTTTTCTACATATTGACTAATCTGTGGTACTGTATGGACATGCACTGTACAGATACTGCTAGACTGACAACGCCTTCACTCCCTTGTTTGTTTCGACACCCTACACCATTATCTTGTTAGTTCATGACATTTGGTGCCCTCACATAATACCTTTTCAAACACTAATTAACCAAAAAGATTAAAAACACCTGTGTGGGTGTGCATGGCCTTTGAACCGTGTTGTTGGATGTATTTTTTCTCTTCTGTTTTACTGCAGAGGGTGGACAGTACTGTGCAATCTAATACACAAACCCTGGGATAAATACTACTCTTGCCAAGCTTACAGTATAATATAAGAAATAATTGTTAAATTTTAAATGTAGCCAGACTAAACTTCACAAGCTCCCCTTTCGCTACAAGGTTTGAGTCTTGAAATAACCGGTCTTGTCGTAGTGCATCTCTTTGTCTGCCCTGTAGTACCTATATTTGTGCAGTAGATGGTGCCATTACAACTTCTTCTGAACCATTTTCTAAGGCAACATCCCATTCATTCCAGTTTAATAAAGGTCATAACATAATGGGTGGGAAGTATGAGTGGCCAAGTTTTGTTCCTGAGAGTTAACTACAGTTTATGCGATCATACATTGGAACAAAGCGACCTTTGGCTGATGGGATGTGCTTTTATCTCTTGAGTTAAGTAATGGGATGATGATACTGATGCACAAAAATGTGAAGGCTGTGCCGGCAAATTTAACCCACATTTTGAATATATAACAGACAAGTATGTTTTTTTTTAATGAGGGACACTTTACTGTATCTACCAATAGTGGGGATATTTTGGCCAGAGTTGGACACAACCATGTCAGACTAGACCTGTTTTGAAATATTTGACTGAAGCTTACAAAACAGCAAAAAAATCAGTTAAAAAGGCACACTGTACTATTTTGGAAAAGGCTGACGTGCCAGACAAGTGGGGTTAAAGATTGCAATCATGACTGTGGTCTTTATTGTATGACATCATGGTGTCAGACAAGTTGACCAGTGTGTACCTCGTGCAGTATTTCATCAGATCAATGAGTCAAATTAAGATCAAGATTGGGCAACTGCTATTGATCACTTGAGATAAGACTATCTGATGTTTAAAAAAACGGAGGGTGGTAAACAGGCTGTTAAGCAAACAGCCAATGGGATATTCAGAGCATTGGCATTCATTTCCCAACCACCAACTGTTTAAAAACGACATCAGAATAGGCAGTAAGAGGACAGTACCCGGGCATCAACCTGTGATACCAGCATTTTTAACTGCATCTTTCTGCATCTACTCCTGGATCGCCTGCAGCTTTGGTACCCTCCTGTATAGTGAAGTTGGAGAGCACACGGTGAGTAGTCTCAACCTGGGTGAGCTGCATTTAAATCCAACTAATTTGAATTTGACATTTTCAGAATGACGCCAATGTCATATGCAAATTCTAAATGGTATTTGACTGGTGATATGTTGATCTGACACCGACATAATACTGACATAATGCCAGTGTGACTAATGCCTGCGCATCATATATATTAAATGCTGTTCCACTGACATGCACCACTTTGATGCACAAGAATGGCTTTGGCTCAGTGGTTCTCAACCTGGGGTCAGGACCTAGGGTTGCCTTGATTTTAAGAAAACTCAGCATTTTATTAATTTCTGTGAGAAAACTAAGTGAAATAGTTATTTTAAAGTTTAAATTATTATTCAAAATAAACTTTGAGGACCTGAACATGCTATACTGCTACACAGCCTCATCCTGCATTAAAACAATGCATATCAGAGAGAAAAAATACTAAATTTGTCAAAATGGAAGCCTAATAAATACGTATTATTGTAAAAAAAAACAAAAAAAAAAACAACACAGACTGGATTGTATAGAAAGTTCCTGACAAACAAATCTCTGATACAATATATTCACAGCAAATAATCTCAAACAAAATGCTCCAAATTCATTTAATTGTTCTCCCCCCCACAAACTTCCTGCTGTCACTGTGCTTACTGCTAGGGTTCAACGTGCTGTTGAGTAGAATATGAAATATGGCAATATGACAGAAAATGGTTGCAAACCACACACCTACTTTTAGCTACCGGAAGAGGCCATCTATCTACCAGCGTCTACCACACACACACACACACACACCCTTGAGGCAACTTCATATATGAACGTTACTTGTTTCAACTCAAACCATGATATTGTCATTAACACTCACTACTTTCGGTGCCTAAGCTAAACCTAACCCAAACTGCGACCGTTTTTCGAGGGTGTGTCATGTACGTGTTGTGGTAACGTCGCCCCCCCCCCTGCAGACACACCTGTTTGGGTTACAATGTGGCACTGGCCTGGTTCACGCAGCAGTTTTACCTGTTGTTCCACAGTGGCATCTACCGGTGGAAAAAACCTCCACAACGGTACGTCTCCATGCCCCGTGACAGTTAGTTAAGAAGTGGCATCGTGGCAGTGGTAGAGTCCGATTTCTTGTTATCGAAGTGGCATAAAAATAGACATATGACAATAAACGGGGGGACTTGGCGTTTAATAATGCGTCAGTACTGGGATATGTTGATGTGACTCGGTATATGGCGGTGGTATAAGTCATGGCAGCGCAACGTGGGCTACATACCGTTTATGGTTAAGATAGCACAAGTACCATAAACCAGTAAAATAACAGTGACATAACAAAAACAAATGGTGCATGCTTTTCGGCCACTTTGCGATTCCGGCGCTGCTGGGGAGTTTTTTCGCCCGCAGGCTTCTTACATGTACTCCACGAGCCGCCGTACTTCCCTCTTGTTTCTGCATCCCGCTGTACGCAGTTGACTGAGCAACATCTCTCTCTCTCTCACTCTCTCTCACCCTCTCTCTCTCTCTCGCTGTCTATCCCTGTCTCTCTCTCTCCCTTTCTCTTGTATTTTACTGCTGCGCACTGCTGTTACAGAACCACTTCAGCAAAATGACCGAAACGGAAACGAGAAATCATCACGATGGCAAGCAACAGAACGGAGGTGCCACGGCAGAAGCATCGACGGTGGAGGATGTTTTTGACGACACCTATAAGGAGAAAGAGGGTCCTAAACCGCCGAGGATGCTGGTGTGGAGAAATATCATATTGATGAGCCTCTTACATATCGGTGCGCTTTATGGACTGGTTCTCATTCCCAATGCTTCGGCGTTAACTCTTGCATTCAGTAAGTATCTGGTGTATGTTGTAGCAGGCTTAGTTTTGCAGCTTTTTTCTTGATTTTTCCCTCCCCGTAGGCCACAGTCGGAGGACAGAATGTGCTGATGTTGTGTGATCATTGCCAACTACAGTACTACATACTGCCTGAGGGGTCATGCCTATGGGAATAATGGAGAATGAGTCACTCTGGCCATGTCATTTTTTTTTTTTTTTCATTATACGCCTCCATGCTTGTAAGCCTCTAAATCAGGCGAGTCTCTTCTTCAAGAGCTCAAACCTGTGGCTGATTGTAAACCATGGACAGTATGTTGTGAACTGTTTAGGCCTCTTGGAAGGTGTAGCATGTCCCAAATTAGACGTATCTGTATGTCAGTGATGATAGCAGCTGTTTGCTGAATAATTAGACTCTAAACTCTATATATGTAGACTAGTGAGGCACTACTCAAATCCCTGAATGCTTGTTCCCCCACTTGTTTCCCTTCAGCTGTTGAATAATTTTCTCCCATCTTTGCGATGCTGAGCTTCATATTATTTCACAGAGGAAGAGAGAGAGAGCAACCCCCATTCCCATAGTCATCCCATTTTGGAAGGTGTAGCATGTAGACGTATCTGAATTTCAGTGAAAATAGCAAACTGTTTACTAAATAATTAAAATCTACACCCTATATATGACTATTGAGGCATGACTCAAATTCCTGAACAGTCTCGACTTGTTTCCACTCTGGTACTGCATAATTTTCCCTCTCTTTGCAATGCTGAGCTGCATATTATTTCACCGAGGAAGACAAAGCACAATCGCCATTCCCATAGTCATCCCATTGTGAGCTGCGTGGCACCACAACAGAATGCTCTTTGCCAGTCAGAAGCCCCCGGTTCTCAAATCCTGGGTAGTCTTGTCTAGGCTTCACATAGAAACACATTCAGCAGTTTTAGAACAACAAAAGTGTGAGGGCAGACCTGCGCGCTCCCACCATCCCATCTCCCCACATAGATAACTTTTCTCTGAACAAAGAGGCCGGGGGTGTAATGGAAAGAACGTGGTGTCCCAGTGACTCTGCTCTCATGGGTGTAAAATTAATTTCAGTGTAGTGGTGACAGTTTTCCCTAAGATCTATCCTTTCCACCTCTCTTTCTTCCAGCTGCAGTGTGCTACTTCTTCAGTGCCCTCGGTGTGACCGCTGGTGCACACAGATTATGGAGCCACAGATCCTACAAGGCTTCACTTCCCCTGAGGGTCTTCCTTGCTCTTGGCAACTCCATGGCCTTTCAGGTAAAACAGCACGAAACAAAAGTTAAAATTACATAGGTAAATATTAAATGTGTACTCCGCTCAAACAGTTTGGCCTTTACTGTGTAGAATGACACGTCCAGAGTTTGATATGGAAAAGGAGTAGATATCATTTCAAAACATGCCAAGAGGGGATCTTAAAGCTATCTTAATGCTTTATATTTATCCCATGTACTTGTTACAGCAAAACAACAAAAATAAAGTGTGAATGGTATGCTTTTCAAATAATTATGTATGATGTCAGTGATATGCATTTATTGTTTTGTTGCCCCAAGTTCCCTGACCTTAATCTGATGATCTGAAACTCACATGCATATCTATGGGTGCCTCACATAATCCTCTCTCTTTATGCCTGTCTCTTTGTGAGCAGAATGACATATATGAGTGGGCGAGGGACCACCGCGTCCACCACAAGTACTCCGAGACGGACGCAGACCCCCACAATGCCACGCGGGGCTTCTTCTTCGCCCACGTTGGTTGGCTGCTGGTTCGCAAACATCCTGATGTCATAGAAAAGGGCAAAAAACTGGAACTGTCAGACCTGAAGGCAGATAAAGTGGTTATGTTCCAAAGAAGGTGAGCAAACATAACCTTTAACAGGCCATGTTAGTTTAAGTTCTTACATCTATGGATGACCTTTTTACTAGTGTTTAACAAAGGTGAGAACAGTAGCAAACTAGTAATACAGTAGTAATGTTAACCAAAGTTTGGGAATCTCTGACTAAGGAGCAGATCTACTGATAAGTGATGCTTTTTGCACCGGGGACCAAATCACAGTGTGCCACCTGTAGTGTCCACAGACTGTCCAGACTGGAGATAATCATGTTGATATGTTTAGAATTTAGCTCATAACAATGTAGCTTTACATTTGTAGCCTTAATGGGAACTGAGACAATGCAAGCATGTAACAGGAAGTGAAAAAAGCATGAAAGTAGTAGGCAGTGCGTAGTATAAAGTGTAGGTGCAGGCAGGTGTAAATATAAGTAACGCTAAAACTTAGATATTATATACTGAATAAACAGCTGGAGGTCTGATATGAATATGTTCAATGCACTATAGGTGTACAGATGTATACACTATAGGGTCAGACAATATTGTAAACATGAATGCAATCTTAATTGTCTTCCAGGCACTACAAGCTCTCTGTGGTAATCCTTTGCTTCCTCGTGCCGACATTGGTGCCCTGGTACTTCTGGGGTGAATCCTTGCTTGTGGCATACTTCATCCCTGGACTCCTGAGATACGCCGTGATGCTCAACGCCACCTGGCTGGTCAACAGCGCTGCGCACATATGGGGCAACAGGCCTTATGACAAGACCATTAACCCGAGGGAAAACTCACTGGTTGCTCTCAGCGCCATAGGTAAGAAAAACAGCCTGTTCGTTATTCACTGCAGTAGTGTGTTTATTCTGTATTTTGAATCCATAAGTAATTTGGGTAATCCAGTGTCTTTATGGGCCTGAGGGATATTTGAATGATATTTTCATCAGAGCGGGCTCTCTCAAATTTGATTGAGTCAGCCTGGCATCTGTAGTGGGACAGTGTGCTAATCCCGTGGCTGATGTTTATTTTGTCCTGGCTGTGTCAGGTTTAGCTTTGAAACTTAGAGGTGTTCAGACTTTGAGCTGTGGATTTTGTCATTTTTTTTAGACTATGATGTTTTTCCCCATGTCTCCAATGAGTCAAGGCTTTATTTGTGGTGGCTGACACCACAGAGGTATATTGCTGCAAACAGCACTGAGCATTCTTGGTTGCAAAACAGCACTAAATTCACAAGCTAACTAATGATTATACCAAAACGTTTCTTTTGGGCTTTCAACTGTATTTCCAAGAATGAACATTGCCAACCCCATTTCATCCGTCTTAGTTGTGCTGTACCTTAATACTCTCAAGCAACTGTGAGAGCAAATGGAAAAAATGTGTTGGAAACAATGTTGTTCCCAAGTCTAATTTACACCTTATCTTACCAGTCTCACCTATTTTAATTAGATACAGCAGCTTTTCCATGTTATACTTGTTCCTAAGCGCTCAGAGCAGCTGTAGTAAACACATTCTAAGTAAATGGAATAGTAAAAGACTGTAGCAGCTTGTTTTGGAAACATTTTCAAACTTAAGTTCACATTTGAAAGTTTCTAATGATAACTTTCATGTTCATCAACAAAAAAATAGTCTCATGGATTTTTTTTTTTACTACTGGGTACCAGAGATGTGAATATTCATAATGCTTTGTGGATGCAATCTGGAACAAAAACAGTGCACTATAGTTTTAAAATTGATCCAGATTTATCCAACAAGTTGTGAAGAGTTCAGCCTGCAGAATTTAAACTTGTTTATCGGATGTTTTCTACTACAATGCTCCGGGGGATTCATAGGTGTCGTAAAGCTGCGGGCACACCTCTGCTGTTACCACGACAACCAAACAACGTTTACCAACTGACTGAGCACATCTGATTTTTTGTTGCCTGTAAATTACATTACTTGACAGTCAGCCTTTAAGATCTTCAAATCCAAAAATAAATCCCTACCTCCCTCTGTCCACTTAGCATCAAATCACATTATCAGTCACATGCAACCCACAGTTGTTTGTCAGTGTGCCACGATCCTGTGATGTCGACAAATGAGTGCAGATTTACAGTATGATTGTTATCAGCCTCATCATATAGTGTATTAGCTATGGCTGTGCACTCTTCATAAGTTTTTCTGTTTGGTTTTCAGGGGAAGGCTTCCACAACTACCATCACACATTCCCCTTTGACTACGCCAGCAGCGAGTTTGGCATCAAGCTTAATATCACCACTGCCTTTATAGACCTCATGTGTGCCCTGGGTTTGGCCAAGGACCGCAAGAGGGTGTTGAAGGAAACGATTGTCGCTCGCAAGCTGCGAACGGGTGACGGAGGCTACAAAAGTGGTTGAGTCCTATTAGCTACAAAATCCGCAAATTGATAATTGAACCAAGACAGAACGTAGCAACAGCAGCATTTCGGTGATGAGGGGTGATTACCATGCTTCTGATTATAAGTTAAACCTATTCCTGAGACTAATATTGGCTTTAAAGAGTTGTAGAACTTTCCATAAATTGTGTGGTTCTCTTTTAAGTTTTGAAGTGTCTTCACCGACTATTAGCCGCAGCCAGTGACTTGACTACATGTGCAAGCACAGCTTTTTCACCATAATATAAAACAGGCAAGAAGAGATTTATAAAGGCTAATTGGGATTTAAGTCTCTTTTGGCAGCAGTAGGACAACCAAACAAGTCTGTGTGAGCGGTGTGTAAAAGCAGCAATTATTTACCGTATCTCTTCTTTGTTAATGTGCTATTTATTGATAGTTGTTGGCACGTTGAAAGCTATATTGAAGCCAGTGAGGTTTCTCTACAGGCAAGATTGAGGGCCTTTTGCTCTAACTTCAAGTTTCATTCCACAGAGAGTGGAGTTTCCTCCTGATATTTGTTTGTCTATTTTAAGCTAAGGTTTTTCTTTATTTTTGGTAAGCTAGTAGTCTTACTAAACCATAAGCTGCCGTGTTCAATGCCAACACCAAGACAGTCAACACTCTACTGAACTGTCCCCATTTATCCTACCTGAGTAACCCTGGGCGAATACAGCTCAGATGTGTTATACTTTTGGATACTTTCACACACACTGTCTCCAACTGTCTATGGGGCTCCTAATGAGGATTAGGTTCTCTGGTATAACACAGTGTATACCTCTGGTTAAGTTATGAAGTCGCCACAGACTTCATCATTAACCCTTTTCATGTAGACGCCTCTGGACTGAAACATAGAACCAGAATTCTCACTCTTAATCTGAAAAGAGAGAAATATTTGCATTTATTTTGTATTCATTATATATATATTATATTAAGAGATAAGGCCTCCCTCGCCCTCAGATAAGGCTAATGAGGCATTTGGTGGAGGTGTATTTACCTTTTGTGCTGTGTGATATTGAAACATGTATGACTTGCCCATATGCCTTATGAGGGTTACTAACCTGTTTCAAAAAGTAAAAGTGCAACTTATGGAACTAAATTAGGTTTAGGGTTTGGGTTAGGGTTCAGTTTTCTGTCTAAACCCCTCAGAAACTGAAATCCAAAGTGGGATAATTTATAGATTCTAAAAAAATGATGGGTTACTACGATTATTAACTTTTGTGTAACCAAACAAATACTTTGCTCTAAAACCAGATCCAAACTTGTTAGGATATCATTAAGGATACTATTGTAGTATTTGTCACACGTCCTCTTTTACAGAGCAACAGTTTTTTACAGTGTTAACTTCTTGAAGTTTGAATGCCTTAAAAAATGGCACAGTTTTTTCAAAGAATGTTTTTGCCCACTGTATGTACCGTAAATAAACCAAATTTTCTACTTGTGAGAAAGTATGTTTTGCTGTTTTTGTTGGAATTCTGTAATACTCCCTATTCGTATACTGAATAAAAAATATGACCATACTATTTCTGTTACTTTCTTTATCAGTGACTTACACTATATTACTACTTACTTACTAATAACAACTTCTACTGATAATGTGCTATTATCATTATCATTATACACTTATAATAACTATACTATAAAGAACTATTCAAAAGCAAGTACTGATGCAAGTACAACTTTGCAAAGTGTGGCATGAAGAACAAAACAAGTCACTGTCAAATATAGAAACTATACTATAAATGCACACTTAACAGATACCAAAAGATATATTTAAAATTTCAAAAAAGCACATGAGCATATGTGTAAAGTAGGCTTAGTTTGCATTGGGTATTATTTTATACAAATTCCTTTAGTGTTGTAGCCTATAGTGACATATGGTATTGGCAGATCTTTACCCACAGTTGTCTGGGTTTGAATAATGTCTGTCTTATCTCATCTTGCAGCTGACATAATGGAGCCGTGGTAACTCATCTGCCTTTCCTGTTTTTGGACTTGTTGTGCTTGTTAATTAACACCCTTGTCTTCTTCGTCTACATGCCTATGGTGATGGGGATCTACTTTTGCCATTCATGCATGGTTCACTTGTCTCTGACCCATCTAACATTGTTGCACTTGTCACACCACCATACTGTACATATTTAAAATATCTGCAGATATTGTTTGAACATTCTTTGAGATTTCAGTAGATAGAGTGGTAGCAGGGGCAGGTCTAGCAAAGTATTAATGGGGTGGCGAGAGGGTGGCATGGAGACTTTAAGGGGTGGCAGAACTATATGCAGATTGAACAATCACATGTCGATATTTGCTTGGAAAAGAGGCCAAATGAAGATATTTGCTCAAAAGCATTCCATTATTGTGGCGCACTATTAAAGCATTGCATAGAAATATCTAAAGTTGGCATAGAAATAAAGTTTTACTTCCAAATCTTCAGACATTTTTACAAATATAATTTTTCATTGAACATAGTCAAAATGTGGCCAGAACATAACATTCAATTCTTTCATTTTTTAAAGGTCCAGTGTGTAACATTTAGGAGGATCTAATTGAATATAATATCCATAGGTATGTTTTTATTAATGTATAATCACTTTAAAATAATAAATTGTTGTGTTTTTGTTAGGTTTGAATGAGCTGCTTTATCTCCTCTTCCATGGAGGCCATCATATTGAACCACCATGTTTCTACAGCCCAGAACAGACAAACCAAAAAGTTGCTCTAGACAGGGTGTTTCGCAGCCACCATAGTTTCTCCTTCACACTTGGAAAAGGAGGGCAAAGCAAGTGGGTTGCAATCTGCAGCTAGACAGCTAGATGCCACTAAATCCTACACACTGAACCTTTAACATGTTAAATGTGATAGCATTTGACACCAAACCTGGCATTTTTTCAGGGTCCATGCCACCCCTCTAGATCCACCCCTGAGTGGTGAGTGCTAGCAGTAGTTTTGCAGCTTTATGTGTCCAGTCCTGCAGACTTAAACAGCAGGCTCTTAAATGATTTTTGTAATCACCGTGGTCATGTTTGTAAGTCTTTTTTGGGGGAAGCAGAGTGGTCGGATGGGCTGAATAAAATAATACAACCTGTCAACATGTAGGCCTGTTGAAGTACCCTTAAGCAAGCTGGCAGCTTGCAGTATTTGATTGCTCAGATTTGCTCTGAGGTGGGCTAAGTAAAAGGAGAATCTCCTTGCTGGGGTTACTGAGGAGGTATTGAGTTTGTTTATTTAAACCATATGAAGGATCAGTGAACTTGCTCCCTCTGCTGGAGAATCATGTTATGGCAAGTCAAAGAAACGGCCTGAACGGTGCATCCTCCCTCTGTTCTGTGTAAAAAACAATAAATGTTTATTTATTTATTTGTTGCAACTGGTGATTTTCTCCCAAAATGCAGCAGTGTGCTACAGAGTGACACCACTCTGAGTCCGGTCAAAAGGTAGGCTACTGTAAGTGGTCCCACCACTGCTGATCTCTGTTGCCCCAACAGTGACATCAGCCCTCTGTCCATTGGCTGCTGACTGTCAGGCCATCCTCCTCACAGCATGCAACACCTCAGTGTGGTCACGCTGCCAGTCACATCTCAGACTCTCCACTGTGGTCAGAGCTTTTAGCTTGGCACATGCAAATTTGTGCAACAGAAGACTTGTTGACTAAGATTATGTTGCTGCTGCTGGCTGCTTTTTAGACAATCTGACATTATAGCTTAGGAGACTGAAATAATTCACATAAATGATGACTTTTAAGTTTGTATTTACTTCCCATTGTGTGCAGTTACCCTCAAATTCCATATGCTAAATGTGTGCAAAGGCTTTTTCACATGCTTACTAAAGATAGCTAATTATAGACGTTTTGGGAAATGACTTTCACATTGATATATATGAATAGCCAGCTTTTGGTGATGCTCTCAGTGAATAAATCATGTATTAAAAAAACTAAAACAACAGGATGGATCCTGCTTTTGTCTCATTTTTACTTGTCATTCCTCTTTAAATCTTAATCCAAAAACATCCCTTAGAAGTCCCTCCCCCCCACACCCCACCCCACCTTCAAATCACTTTCTTCTTTAATCCTAATTTGCACACAAGAAGATTGCTAAAGGGCTGCCTGTGCCAAAGGAAAGGGTCCTAAGGGTCAGACGGGGTTATTGGGGAATAACCCTTCATCCAGCGTTAGGTAGGGACCGTCTGGATTAGTGATTGAAATGTCCCACATCTGATCAATGGCCTGCTTCACTCTGTCCCAATCCAACTTTTCTTTTCTGTTGGAAAAACTTCTCAATCTCATGGTGAGTTTTAGATTATTAAAATATTGCAGGTAAAATGTAGAGATGAAAAACCTTTAATAATTCCACAAAACACTTATTCCCTGTCGATTTTAACTATTACCACTCAATTTAAACTTACTATAACCGCCTAGTGTCAGCGATATTTGTAAACCATACATTGTATGAAATAGAAAACTATAGCCTATATTTTTTTATTTGCAGGTGTCCGAAATAATATATATATATATATATATATATATAATATATATAATCGCATCGAGTCCTGTGACTATAATACAAATGGAAATTATATCCCTAATGATGATACTAAGAAAGACTTCCACCTGCAGTTCATCAGTTGATCCCTTTGTGGGAATAACTGTCGCAGATTTTGTGGATGTAACGAGGCAGTTTGACCCCATTTGAAATGAAATGGTCAAATGACATTTTGAGGCTATGATTGCCTGCCGTGTGAGTAACGCTCCTTGTGATTTATGGTGATAAACACTGATTCAATCACACCTTTGTGAAACCATGAATTACTTCCTCGAGAACAAACCGTTTGGAACTATTTTTTTGTGGTCTTATCAAACTGACTATTCGTCATCCAGAGGACTATCTCCCACTAATCCCCGACAATCAGCTGCGCGTTAGATAACTTAAATAAACTTTTTTTCTGAGCAGAAACTCAAGGGATCAGTGTTGCACTTTTCCTATAGGATTAAGCAGATCTTCCTTTGCTCTTGAATAGAGGCAGGGAACCTACCGTTGCCCGGCCCTGAAGGCCCAGGGTGCCCTTTTGATCATTTCAGTCTCTCCTTGGTGCAATACTCCTGATTGGCCAAGAGACTAAGAAGGGGGAAAATCTTTAATTAAGCAGATAATCTCTTGTTGGGACAAGAGCAGCTCCATTTCAGAGCCCCCTCCTTGAATCTTGGAAGCCCTGGTGAAGTTTCATGTGCTGGTAGCTCAGTTTCCTCTCCATCGTTTGACTGTCTGCAGGCTTTGGACGGGCTCAGTCATCCCCCTCACCTGTCAGGATGTTCATGCATTTGGAGGTTTTCTATTATATTTTCATTCTCCTGGCTCACATGAGGTCGTACTGCTGCTGGTAAGTTTGATTTATTGTGAAATATATATGTATAAATAGCAAAACGCATGTATTTTTGTCAGTATACATTTTATTTTATTATTTTGCTTTAATTAATGTTTTTTCTCTCATTAAACATTAGAGTATTATTCAAAAGGTATAAAATGACCCATGAAACCACTTAATTGAATGATTTGACAATTGGAAATAAGGAAATTACTTAAATTAGGGACTTAGTAGTTCCCATAAAAGGTAACTGGATTAGTTTAATTAATTTCACCAGTACCATATTTTAATAAAACACTCTTGATAAAGAGGTTATTACGTTTTAACTAACTACTTTAACAATGGTGAATAAATCATTTAGTAATGCTTTATAGATTCTTTGTAAGCCACTAGTAAGAACAACTTTAGGGTTGCCAGGTTGTGAAAACTCCCTTAGGTTATGCCATTTGACCTTTTATTTCCGAAAAAACGCCTGCAGACAATCAGGACCAAACTCCATTTATCAACAACTAATATAATGCTTAAATGGTTAAAACCAATTATTATGACGTATAAACATTAATAACAGACTTGATTAATAAAAAGTGAGAAACCCATAAGCATTTATAAATGGATTACATTTATAACTACAGTATTTACAAAAAAAAAGTAGAAACACCTGCCAGTGAGATTTTTCCCAACGGGCAACCGAAATTTCAAGTCAAAACGTGTTAATAACATAGCTGCTGCCCTAAGTTTTAACATTTCTACAAACTTTTGGACAAATTCAGCAGTGTTTTCACTGAGGTTTGGATGCCTGCTGGTGTCACGGTTTAACATGTTACATTGCGCACTAATGAGAGATGTTAGCAGAGGAATTTGTGAAGGACACTGAGCTTCCCTGAGTGAATAAGCTGTCTCCTTTTCCAGGTCAGTGAATAATTTCTTGATGACTGGACCTAAGGTAAGCCAACTTTCTTTTGATCTCTTCCCCTTTTCCCAAACGAGAGAGGGAGAGAAAACATGCTTTCTGTGCATATTTGTTGTCCTTGTGATGTCTTAACTCAAGTGTATTGACAAGATCTGGTACCTGTCTGTATGCAACAATGCCACTAATGATATATCATTGATATTCTTGGCCCTTTGTGATTCCCCCCCCTCCCTACGTACACTTGACCTTATTCAG